GGTTTTATAATGAAATGTTGTTTGGCATCCCAGCAGCAGAAACACTAAAATATGAATGAAAATACTTTTAGTAAGTCCTGTAATGTCCTTTATAATATTATAAGGTTTATTTACCCACACAGCGAAAAACTGTTCTTTCTGGTGCAATATCAATAAATTCAAAGCTGTGACTTATGAATATTTTTTAACATTTAAAGACTTTGTGCAATATACTAGAATCTGTGCGACATAGATGTCCATCCATCCAGCCTGACAATCTGAACTAGTACTTGTGTATATTTTTGGTTTATTTTTTATTTTGTACTGATATTTCGTGAATGTTTGCACTATCCCCTTTGCTGCTGTAACAATACATTTTCCCCACTGAATTATAATATCGTATTAGATTACTTTTTTTTAAAAAGTATAAACAGATTATAACAAACCCAGTAGTGTACGCAGGAAGAATTAGCTTAGGATATGTTGTAGGAGACGATGGTATCAGTGCTGATGTTAATGGGGGTTCACAGGAGTTGTGACAGTGACAACATCACCGTGTTGAAGCTCAGCAGGTTTATTAGCGTGTTAGCATGCTAACCTAATTAGCTCTTAATATTAAATCACCCTACCAATATCAGTCCAGTTGATTAATTTGTATTCTAGATGATTAATCGTAGCAACTGGACTTGCTTGAGTTCCTTGAAGACGTTTCATCCAAGAGGCTTCATCAGCTCTGACTGACTAGTTGGGAGTTCCACATACTGATATCCTGCAGGAGCCATTAACACCTGAGTTTTCCAGACTGAGAATCTTCACAGACATCGAATCTCAGGTGTTAATGGCTCCTTAAGGATATCAGTATGTGGAACTCCCAACTAGTCAGTCAGAGCTGGTGAAGCCTCTTGGATGAGAGATGAAGCATCTTATGTTTCATCTGTACATAAACAGAAAGCACATAGGGTATATTCTCATTTTAAAATGCTCCTTCAACACTTCCTCCTTACCTGTGGTGCCCTGGTCAGAGGGCGGACCGGGGGCCTTGGTCGGTTTGTCGGTTGGGGGGTCGCAGGCCTTGTCGGGGATGACCGCCTGGATCACCACCTGAGGCTTGAACGAACCGGAGCTGATGTAGGTGTGAGTGACGGTCAGCTCTCTGGATATCAGGGCTCCGCTCTCGTCTCCAAAGTCCCAGTTGAAGGTGATGTCGGCGTTGCTGAGGTACTGGCTGGGGTCGTGGAGGGTGATGGTGAAGGCGATGGCCCGGTTCTGGATGAAGCGCATGTCTCCGGCCACGATGTCGTTCACCTGGTCCAGAGAGACGGCGAAGGGGATCTGATCTGAAGAGGAACACGAGTCAGTGGGACACTCTGGAGTTGATCAATCAGCCTTGAAATAAAAAGGCAATAAACACAAAACAAACTAGACCTACCAACAACATTATGGTGTAAATGAAGCACTCAGTAAAAATAGGGACTTGAGCAATTGATGTGGTAAATGCAATGAGGACAAACCAGAGGCAGGATCAGTCAGAAGCAAAATAAGTAAATAATCAAAAACAGGAAGCAATAAAAGATAATATTGGTCAAAATTAATAAAAAATAAGAAAGAACGTTGGTCATTTAAATCTTTGCACCACAGGGTCTTAGGGTTTTTTCCAACCTTTTTATCTTAAATAGCTGAAATAGTTCAGATTTTTTAAATTTCAACCATCTCTGCAGCATAATCTGTGTTTCATCAGTAGATCCTATATCAGTAGTTCTACTCATGGAAGAAAATGTGAAATAACATTGTTTTTATTTAGATATGTGCAAATTCAACAGAACCTATGTGTATTTGTTGTCTTGTTTTTCTACTGATGTTCCTGCATTTTGACACTTGGCTGCTGTAAAACTTCCCACAGCTCATTTTATCTTAACTCTACTTTAAGAAGTGGTTCGCTCTGTAACTCCGATGTACGCTGATGACTGAGAAGCAAAAACTGAACTGAACACATGAAGCTCTGGTTTTATGTAAAACTCCATGATGCTAAAACAAGAGTTTTGGTTGCCACAGATACAAAAAAACATTTCATTCACTGTGATATAATTAAATAAAACTCGCATCATGTCGTCTGACAGCGTTGGACACATTTATCATCTGCTTTCTGTTCTGTTTTTGCAGTAGTTAGTTATAGATATAAATAAAATCCCTGCTGCAGGATATGATTTCTTTCCTCTGCAATCAACAAAACACCTTTATGGCTGATTTGTTCCTGGACGCACTTACTGGCAAATTTAACATTAACAATGCACATTAGCAGACGATCTGTAAATGCACCAAAGCCGACTGAAAGGCTTGTTTTAGTTGCAAATTAATTAACAAATTCATCACTTTGCATGCGGCGATTAGTGTTTAGCAGCTCCTGGTGACTTTGTTTTTCATAAATATTGGAAGTTTTAGTGCAAACTGTGAAAGCTCTGTTGAGATAATACATGTTTTATGAAATCAGGGAACATCTACTTAAATTTTGTGTCTCATAGGTGTCAAATTCACGGTAGAAGAGTTCTATGCTGAGTATTTTGGAGATATCTGAAGCAGCTTTGTTTGACTCATAAAGCCCATTAATTGGCAGGTTAATCCCACCTCCAGTCATCTTATTCTGGTGGATTAATCGGAGCAACTGGACTCACTTGAGCTCCTGGAAGACGTTCCATCTCCCATCCAGTTGGGGGTTTGTTGCTCCTCCCCCTCGTTATGTGAGTCGTTAGTGCTCCCCCTGCCGCAATGGGGTTCGTTAGGGTCTTTAACGAGGGGGAGGAGCAACAAACCTCCAATTGAAACTCAGGTATTAATGGCTCCTTCAGGATATCTGGAACTCCCAACTAGTCAGTCAGAGCTGATGAAGCCTCTTGGATGAGAGGTGGAACGTCTTCAAGGAACTCAAGCAGTTGCTACGATTAATCTACGAGAACAACCTGGAGGCCTGAGAACCTTCACAGACATCCTCCAACCACTTTCTGCGCATTGTGGAACTAACCGGTGATGGAGAACTGGGTGGAGGCGTATCCCAGAGGAATGAACTTCTCCTTGCTGCGGTAGTGGTAGATGACGATGTCCATGGTGTAGGAGCCCAGAGGGATGTCGTCGGTGCCGATCGTCAGAGAGGAGGACGGCCCGTCTGCAACCTGCCAGTACTGACCTGCAAGGTCCACAAATAACGTCACAAAACCTTCTGGAGACTGCCTGAAGGATTAATACGCTTGTCAAAGGAGCCATAATCCACGTGCTGCTTCAGGAGGATATCCTGAAGTCTGACTGTGTTTGCTGGTTCATGTCACGGCGGTTTAATGTGATCATATGACGAGGCTCCTGTTTAATCCTGCTTCAGGTCATGTTGAATGTTTTCATAAGAGCCTCAGAAAGCACTCGATACGAGTCGACGGCTTCGCTCACCCCACGTCTTCCAGACGAACACGTACGCCGGCTTCTTGTCCTTCTTCACCGGCGTCCCATCGGGGAAAACTGCCTCCCAGTCCGCGCTCTGTGTCGGGTAAACTGGTTCAGACTGGCGGTACTTTGTTCCTGCAGCAGGACAGAGTTTGAGACGGTGAGAGATTGAAATCTGACAACCAGACAAAGAAAAGCTGCCGGCGATGGGATAAATGTTCACGTCTTTATGAGAACATGCTGATGAAGCTTTAGTCTAGTGTGTTTATGTTGACAGCTGCTGGTTTTCAGGTGTTTACATCCTCACATCCTGGGTAGAAACTTTTTTGTTCTAGAAACATTCTGAGAAAGTTCCCACAGTGTTCTTCTCAAAGTTCTTCTCAAGTTCTCTAACGACGTTCTCCAAATGTTGCATTGAGGTTTTCCTTTATTGTTGTCGTGCAACATTGTGGGAACGTTTTGTAGAAGAACATCAACATCTCCAAAACACCTTCAGAAGACTAAAATGGTAAAACGTTCCATCAATGTTCATATGTCAGATTACGGGAACGTTTTATTAACTCACGTTCTGTCTTCTGAGGCCTCGATGAAGAACGTTTTTTGAACGTTGGTTTGTCAAAACATTCTGTCTTAGTTCACTTTTAACCTCATTGGAACGTTCTTTAAAATGATAGACATCCTTAAAATGTTCTTTGAATGTTAGATTTAAATGTTGTCTGGATTCTTTTGGGGCTTTTTTTGGAGTTTTTATAAACACAAAAGTACTAAAGGGATCGATAACATGCACCAGATAGGAATCAAACATCTGCAGGAAGAACATGGAGCCCACCCAGCGTCATATAAAGGTTCTAATAATGTTGGAAAGAAAAACTTTTCTTTTAAACTTTACTGCTGCAAATGTACCTTGACATGTTTCCCCTGAATGAAACTGGACAACCTCTCAGGTTCTTTCACTCTTTTTTTTCGTGTGTTTCACGGTTTTTAGCGTCAAATAGTTTCATTTTCATTTGACTTCTTGTATCATAAATATCATAAATCACTTTTAAACTGTAAAGAAGCTGCTGCACAAATAAAGTCTGACAGATTTAAGGGTTAATTGTGTCACTGAGGGTCAAACGTTGCATTTTATTCATCTACAAAGCTTTGTTAGGAAGATTACCTGAATGTCTTACTGGTCTTTTTAATTATAGATCAATTTCTCATCAGACTGGGGCCCAAGAGTTTGTAGTCTTGGAAAACACACTCATTAAAACTGAGATCTAGGAAACAAGCTTTTAATTAAATATTATGCACCCGAGTACTGGAACAAAACTCAAAGCCTGTTGAGATGAGATCGTCTGATCCCATTGGACAGGTTTGAGGCCCTGGTGTCCAACATGGAGCGGTGTGAGTGTTCTTTAAATTTAACTCGTACACTTTCTCTAACTTATGATTATTTATTCTGTATGTGAGAGTGTATGTCTGAGTTCTTTGCTTATTGTCATGTTTACGGGGCACCCATGTACAAGAGAGTATCTCCTCTCATTGGGGCTTCTCCCTGTATAAATAAAGGCTTTTAAAAAACACATGCACAACACAATTGAATTTCCCTTCTGGGATGAATAAAGTATTTTTCATTTCATGCTTGTTACCGTTAACTATGCAGTCTTCAGCCCAAACCACGTCTCCGTCCGGCTGCACCTTCTGGTTGTGAGGGAACTCCAGGTCGATGGTGAAGGTCACTCTGGCTCCGGTCAGAGTCGGCGAGTCATTTCCCACGTTGAAAATCACTCTTCCACCTGCAGCAGGAGGCGGAAAAGCAGAGATCACATGTCTGAGTACGTTTAAAGTCAGAACGCACCGGACGTGATGCCCTGTTGCTGCAGCTGTACCTTTCCAGGAGTCTCTGTATCGCGGGTCTCCGTCCTTCCAGATCGGATACATCTTGGTGTTCCATGACGGGTAACGAGTGAAGCGGTTCTTGGGCTCTGAAATGTCAAAATAAATCACAAAATAAGATATATATCCAGTATAAGACTAAATAAAACAGTAAAATAGCATAAAATACTAAAACAGACATAAGAGGAGGATCAGTTTCTAAAATAAGAATAAACACTGAATATTTGAACAATAGAATACGAAAATAAATCCATTATTTATGATGTGATGCTTCTAATTAGAGTAAAAACACAATTAGGGGCCTTAAAACGAATTGATCCAGATGAATTCTTCACCTGGAGAATCTGTCAGTCGAAGCAAATGAAGATACGAAAGCAGGTAAACAAACAAAAAAAACCCAAAAAAACAATAAAGATTTCTGTTTTCACAGAACTTGGACCTCCAGTTTTTATAGATTCTTCTTGGTTTACATTTTTCCAAGCATCACTGCTGAAACGATGCCGTTCTATGTACATTTATGTATTTACAGACTTTGATTTCACCCCAAAGGCAGCCGAGGGTCCCCAGCGTTGTTCAGACGAGGGTGTTTTATTATAAACCTCTGGTCCTGATCCGCCTCATGTGACGCTCAGCTGAGTGTGTTCGTGATTATTTGACAGATTAACAGTGTCACAGGGCTGAATTTGGATTAAACTCTGAGCTGAATCAGACTTTAGGACGAGATTATGAATTCAGACGGTGTTGTTTTAGAGTTACGATGCTCCTGTTTCAGGTGTTCCTTCTGTTTTCCAGAACGTTAAAGACGTTTTTCTAGAATAACACCCTCATGCCTTGATCTAAGAAATCTTTCCTCCTGTTTTTGAAGATTTTTTTTATTGTAAATTGGTGATGAAATCCTTATTTTGTGCAAAAATTCAAGCCAAAGTTTAGAGAAAAGGAAAGTTGGTGCTAAAACTTCTGCAACTTTGCAAGAAACCCACTAAAGTTTGGAATTTATGTGGATTTTGTCGCCCAACGTTTGCACCAAAATCACTCTAAGATTTGATTTCAGACGCAGAAAAAAACCACGACAACCACCAATAACTTACAGCTAAATGCTGCCGATGCTACACCAGCACAGAGTTATTATTCTGAAACAGACGTAAAACATGTGAATCTCTCGGGATTAAGAGAAAAAGTGAGTGTTTTGCTCTGTGGAGGTCAGATTCTGTGTCGTCCACGCCTGGCTGAGTAACGAGGTCGTGGGAAAAACTGGATCTTACAGACGACGACGACGACACGTGAAACACCTCAGCAGGAAACACAACTGGCTGCAAGGTAAGGAAAGAAAACCCTGCAGAGTCGATTTAAAGAGAATTTATCACATGTTTTTGATCTTTTAAGCGTTTAGTAACTCATTAAGAACAAACTGTCACTAACACACTGAGAAAATGTCCCAAATTTAAGGCCAGACTTCCTCATTATGAGCAGAATTCTGCTTTAAAGATGCAAATTTATGAATTTGAGCAGAAAGACGAATTTCAAGTAAACCTGGTTGATGCAAAAGTAACCTTTAGTTAGATGTGTGCCTCGTGTCTAGTTAGAAAAAAACTGAAGGTTCTTATCAAAGCAAAGCAAATGATGTTTACTTAAATTCAGTCAAAGCAGCTTCCTTAGAAAGGAGCTAATGCTAAAAAAATAATAATAATCTAAATATAACATCAATACACTTATTTAGATCTGTAGCTCGATTTAAAAAAAAGTTTCATATATTGTCCTAAAGTCAGCAAATTCTCACAGGTTCACTGAAGCTTCTCGGAATAACATAAGAAGGAATCAAAGTTTTTCAGATTAAACATTAAAAACATCAATAAAACATTATTTGTACGGCGGCATTCGTACAAGAAACGCAGCGCAAAGTGTTCAGAAAGCATCACATGTGCAGGATATTTTCATCGTCCGCTATTTTATTCTTAACTGCAGTTCAGATAAAATATTTTTCTACATTATTCTGACAGTTTCAATCGCTTCTGTCTTTGCAGAAAATGTCTGAAAGCATTTGTCCAGTCATATGAAGTGATAACATTAAAATAATTAACAACATATGAAATAGAATCCAACTAATTATTGCATCAGCAGCAATAATAATTAAAATATACGAGCAATTCCTGAGTTGTTCACATTTTGCTTTAAAAACAAATAAAACACATCCACAGGTTTACTCCAGTGACATTTTCAGTTACTTGTACTCGAGTATTTTTCTACTGCAGTAAATGATCTGAACGCAGCTTCAATAAAACTTCTTCTGTTCTGTTAAATCCACCGTTTGTACGACAGCATCACAATCTGATCATTTCTGAAGCTGCAGCTCAACAAAAGTATTTTTTTGTTTCTACTCACTCGCGGCGGTTTGAGAAGCCGCTGCCAGCAGCAGCACCAGCAGCACAGCAGACGTCCACATTGTCCCTTTAGTGAGCAGCAGGACACAGAAAAGAGGCTTTTTAAAGTCTCTGATGTTGGACGCCTCCTTCCTGCAGGAGTCCTGCCGACCTCCTCCTCCTCCTCCTCCTCCTCCTCCTCCTCAGATTTAGATTTAGAGGCTCCTGCACTGGGTTGTGTATTTACAGTAGAAGCTGGATTACAGTACAGTAGAGAAAGCGCCACATAATCACCTGAGAAATGCTGAATTCCACATGCGCTTTACTTTGGTGGCATCACGGGACAGAACGCAGGAACCAGACAAAGGAAATCATTTTAATTCAACCTGAAGCTCCCTGATGCACACAGAAAAACAATAAATAATGGAGCATCACAGGTAGATTCATCGTGTTCGGTACTGAAATATCTCATTTTACTTTAGATTTTTATCCAGTTCAGGGAAACGGTGAACTTTTTACTGCCCAACTGAAACGGATGTTACAAACTAACCTGCAGACAGACCAGATGCTTTCATTTATTCAGTTACAGATACAAAATAAAGCAACGATGAGATGAACAAGCAGTCAGAGTTTTAACATTTTCCAGAATAAAAAGATGTTTTTACAGCAGCATTCATAGAAGAAACACAACTGAAAGTGCATGAACTTAAAAATGAATAAAAAATACAGAAAGTTTAACATCTGCAGTTGTTGATAAGGTTTATATTGTCATTTTCTGGTATTTTATATTAAATTTAAAGGATTTTTTTAGGGGAAAAATGTGAAATTGTACTTAATTCACAATGCAAACATGCAGAGGATAAACTAAACCATATAAATATACAGAATTACTGATTTTTCTGTGTGTGGATATTCAGATATTGCACAGAAAAGAGCTGCAACGTAAGTAAATATTCAGCTAACATGCTCATTTTTACAATATAATACCTCTAATTTTCTGCCAGTTAAACAACATTTATGAATTTTACTAATGTTAGACTTTAAAACATTTATTCCAGCACTAAACATCGCCGCTGCTGCATAGATGTGGAGCAGCTTTGAATCATTCCAAACGTGTAGAACTGTAAATCTGAACCTTGCATTCATTATTCTGCCAGATTTGTTTATTTTTAATCAACAAAAACACACAAATCTTCTTAAAATTCATTATTTATCAGAGTCTCAAGGCTAAAAACAACACATCGAGGTCGTATTTAGATCATGAGCGTTACAGTATCACTCATTGTTTTCACAGAACACGTGCTCTCAAATCTCTGCTCAGGTCACCTGATGCATTTTGGGCCGCTTCCTTAATTATTCCCAATTATGTGTGGATTTACTCTGAATTCATGCTGATGATGATGATTATCGAAGCCATGTCACTAAAGGTGGAAACTGTAAAAGGTGCATCAGGTGAAATCTCACCGCCGTGCTCGTTTTTTGCAGTTTTGGGTTTCAAGGTTTGTTTTGAATTCAAAGTTTTTAATTTCTGTGTCATTAGAACAGTCGGTCACAGGGCGGCTGCAGAAAGCAAACGGAGGAATGCAGCGTTAATGAGGATTACTGGAGCTCTTGTGACTCCCTAAATTCATCCGGCTTTGTCCTCCACAACTTTAAAGTCAGTCTGCTCGGGGCTTTTTCTGTATCATATGAAAACTGTGACACCGTTTAAACCTCTTTTTTCAAACAATGTCAGCATTCACAGTGAAATCCAGTTCAGGCCTGTTTCATCTGTGAACCCCGTCACTCCGCTCAGACCTCATCTGGGACACGAATACTCCAAACAGAAGACAACAACGTGACCAGGATATATCTGAGAATAGTAAAAAAATAAAAATAAAAATCACCGCTGACTGCATCACGACAACAGGAGCTAAATGCTAACAGCAGCATGCTAACAGCTGATGATTAGCAGGCGCAACTGTAGAAGCTAATAAAGTAATAACAGCCGATAATGTAATAAATTTGCACTTTTTAAAATGCAGTAGGCCGATAAAAAAATAAAAGTCCTGAACCGAAAACGTAGTCTAAATAAATTCTTTGCAAATGTAATAACCAAAGTTATTATGTTATCTGTTCAAGACTTTTATCACGTTATTGGCCAAAAGTTATTACGTTATTGGCCTATTACATCTTAAAAAGTGCACATTTATTATGTTATCTGCTGTTATTGGTGTCTACAGTCATGTTGCTAATGTTAGCATGCTAATATTAGCTAACTAGCAGTAAATGCAAAGTAGAGCTGATGCTAACGGGGCTGTGGCTGGTTTTGCATTTATTTAGTTGATAAAAATAATAGTGTTCAGCTGATGTGTAACTAAATAAAAATTTACTTAAGCATTGTACAACTCTGTCATGTCTGTCAAGTTTCTGTCCATGTGTACACATTTTATGTCTCATCTTTCCTGTTTTATTTTGAAATCACTTTACCGGTTGTTTCTGTTCTAGTTTTGCTTCCTGCACCTGTCTTGTCACACCTGTTCCCTGATTACCTCCCCGCACCTGTTTCCCATCTCCCCTCATTACCTCGTGTATATTATCTTGTGTGTCTCACTGTCACTGTCATCGCCAGTTCGTTGCACTTCACAGTCTTCATACCAGCGTTTTCAAGTCAAGTCATAGTCTGTTTGTTCACGACGTTGTTTCTGTTTTTTGGACTTTTGCCTTCTGCCTGCCTTTGCCTGAGTGACTGATTTCCTGTGTACCGAACCCTGCCAGCCATTACACCTGTCTTTTTCCTGAACCCATTCTGTGTCGCGCATTTGTGTCCACCTGTTCTGTAATCAGTGAGTTCATGACACTCTGAGGTACTTTCCCTGATATTTAGCTGATATTCTACATATTACGCTATAACCTCAGTAAAGTGAGTCTTGTTCGTTAGGTGTTGCTTCTCCAACATCTGGGTCTGTTTAACACCGACGGCATCTTCTGGATGGACCGAAGAGTCTCTGGTTTGAAATTTCATCTCGTTCTTCCTTATTTACAGAAATAACAGCCAACAGCCGGAAAACTCTGGTTTTTGCATCTGAATTTTCGGCTTTATACAGTATTTGTTTTTATACACTGATTTTAAATTTTAAAAAAGGAAGCAAGGATATAAAGAAAAGTATGAATGCATTGAAGTGAGTACAGAAAACCTGTGCAAAGGTAAGAAAACCCACCTGTTTTATGCTAAGCTAAGCTAAGCTAACTGTCTCCTAGCATCATATTGAAGCGACAAATAGAAGATTAGCATCAGTGTTGTCATCTAACTGTCCTAAAATGCTAAACTTCTTGACAGAACGGCAGCCGTGTTTACGTTCTTATTTATGGTGTTCACCCTGTTAAGTGGAAGGTGGCTCAGTGGTTAGCACTGTTGCCTCGCAGCTAGAAGGTCGCTGGTTCACATCCCGGTGAGGACACCCGGGATCTTTCTGTGTGGAGTCTCCATGTTCTCCCCGTGCAGCGTGGGTTCTCTCCGGGTTCTCCAGCTTCCTCCCACAGTCCAGAAACATGCTGAGGTTAATTGGTGATTGTAAATTGTCCGTAGGTGTGAATGTGAGTGTGCTTGGTTGTCTGTCTCTAAGTGTAGCCCTGTGATAGACTGGTTACCTGTCCAGGTGAACCTGCCTTCACCCTGAGTCAGCTGGGATAGACTCCAGCCCCCCATGACCCTAGTGAGGATTAAGGTGTAGAGATGATGGATGGATGGATCCTGTTCAGGTTTATTGAGACGATCTGAAGAGTTGATTGATGTGTGCGTCGACCAGCTGTGACTCTGGTCTACCGCTGTGTGCTCTGAGGTTTAGAAGTGGTTGTAGTCGCCTCACTGTGAGCTGTACGCTGAAGCTGGCTTCCCGTCCTTGAATGAAAGACGATACACTCCTCGGATGACTCTGATCTATGAGGATCTTCTCGGATTGGTTCCTGTTTATTTAGGCTGATCTCTTCACAGAATTAAAAGCCTTTCAGTCAAACGACATTCTGCTTCTGGCTGCTGCTCGTGTTCAGACTGAAATAGGGGGAAAAAAGCTTTTAGTTTCTCTGCTTGGAAAACCCTCCATTCTGAGCTAAAAACGTCAGAGCTCATTTCCCGTGAAGCCTCTTTCTTTGGAAGAAGGACAGACAACCACTCAGCAGTGCCTGTGTTTTATCTGCTTACTGTCCACACTTTCTTATTTTGTAATGTTGATTTGTTCTGTTGTGTGTTTATCTGTGGACATGTGCCTTTCTCGGCCAGGTCACTCGTGTGAAAGAGGTTTTGATCTCAGTGGGTCGTTTATCTGGTTAAATAAAGGTTAAATAATAAATAAAATAATCTCAGTGGGTCGTTTCACAGCTTCTCTTCTTTATTTCGTCTCATTAGGAGCACATCTCTCAAACGGATGAACGTTACTTTGAACAAAGGTGTTTGCTCTCCATCATTAAGATCTGAGTAACACCGACGGCAGCTTCTCTTCAGTCTGAATAAGAAGACAGAAAGAAGAACATTTAGGCCTCAGTTTTAGAACCTGATCTGGTTCTTTTTTGGTTTTCATAAATCCTGGCCCAACACGGGAATATCCAGCCCTTTATTTACAGACGTTTACTCGTCAATTTGGGAGTTTAAACGGTTTTGGTTTCTTTAGCCACTGATTAAAACAAAGAAAGGATAAAAACTAAAGTACGAATGAATCAAAATGATTATAATTAAATGCACACACTGTGACTATTAAATCGATAAGGAAAGGACCCGCTCTGATCTACTGATGAAGCCTCGTCTTCTCTCTTGCATCCGATTGCACCACGAAGCCAAATGAGTCATGTGGAGCGCCTTGTTGCCTAGCAACAAGAACGTGAACCACCTTTTCATCCCCCCTCCAACAGAGAACCAGAGAAGCCGAGGATGTGAAATCTAACAGAGATCAGCGCATGTTGAAACAGTAGGACTGGGTTTTGTTTTTCCTTCAAGCCGCCTCGAGATGCGACCGATGTTCAGCCGTTTAGGCCTAAAACTCCAACAGATTCAGCAAAATGTGGATCAGAGACACTTTGGGAATTTAAAAAATATCAGTCTTTGTGTCTCCTTCATCAGGCCAGAGGGAAGTCAGAGAAGTCCAGCAGAAAAACAACCTTAGAAACAAAGCAATCAATCACGTTAATGTTATTTGACCTCTTCTAGAAATTCAATCGTCCAACAAATGAAGTGACATGAAGCACCTTAAACGCTGCGTCCATTTTATTCCCAGCAGCAGGAGCCTCTCCGCTGAACGTTTCACGCCAAACAAGCGTCTCAAAATGGCAGCAGCTTGTGTTTTAATAATTAATGTGACTTGATCGATGAACAGGGACCTGCAGGGCGGAACTGATGAAGCCTTCAGTGACTCGTTAGGACTCGTAAGACATGCAGAGAAATATCATGAGAGTGATTAGAGCTTCACTGACAGCATGGGGGCCAGAAAAACAGCAAAAAATAGCACATTTCTGTTAAATAATTACATATTAAGTGGATTTAAATGCAGCTGTTTGCTTTTTAAAGAGTAATTTTATGATCCATTGTTGTAAAAGATCAAATGAGCATTTATTAAACAACAGGGGCTGGAGGCTGAGGCAGTTTTCAGTCCTTAATATATCTACTTTTTTCTTTCAAATACTGGCAAATATCTGTAAAATAATGTTATTTCTTACTGATTTAAATACAATAAAAATGTCTGAATTTTTTACGGTCAAACACTGTAAAAGAACAATTTGTAAAAACACAGATTTTTGATTCAGACACAAATTAGAGTTTAGTTTAGGTCGGTTTTTATGTTTTTTATTTTATGGTTAACGTGTAAATTAATACTTTTGTTTCTTAGATTCTCCTTCTTATTATCTGTAATTTAGCAAAACAGGAGAGAGTCTGTAAAATAACGGTAAATTGTAATAAAATATGATTTAGATCACTTTTATTTAAAACGTTAAGTTTCAAATTCTGTGATTCAAATGACTTTTTGGGTGCAATTATTCAAGGAAAAAATCAAATTAAATGTATAATACTATTACTTAATTTTAACAATTCAAATCCAATTATATGTCGTATAAATTCCAGATATAGTGGCATATATTTCTGCAAACAAACATCTAAATATGCCGATTAATTTTGCTGTTGTTGTTGTTGGGTTTAATGTACAAAAAATAAGTCTTATGAGCATTTTGTGTGTTTTGCATGTCAGTTTTTTATTTATAAAGAAACACAGTCATCAAATAAATGTAATGGCGCATGAGTCAACAGTTGCACGACAAGAAAATAATCATGGAAATTAGAATTACTCTGAAATTCATCAAATCAAGTCACTGTTGTTTATGTTGGCCGTTTTTAAAACAGCAGCCAAAGTGGTTTCCAATAGAGGAATCAGACTGGTGCTGTGAATTTACCCAATAAGTTTACATATTCAGGATAGAACACTGAGTAACCCGAACGACTTTAATGTTAAGGTTAAGAAACTACAATATTAAAAACTCTAGAAAACAAAATAAAATAAAATACTCGACTAATTTAAAAATTAAATTAGGACATTACAAAAGTATAAGTGTGAGATCCAAGATTCAATATAATGTGCAAAATAAATACATTTTCACATTTTTAGTGAAGTTAAAGTGTCATTTTGTTTGCTTTTTATCTCCCTTTTCTCTTTGTTTTCTCCTGCAGTAGCGTCCAGTCGCCAGCAGGGTGTCGCCGGTCCAGCAGGCGGCGCTGTGACGAACCGACTGTGGGCGGAGCCGCGGCTGAGAAGGAGAACAGCTCCCGTGTGATTGGAGGAAGTAATACATCAACAAAGAAAGATGGCCGAAGTCATAGAGCTGCAGAAGCTGAAGGTTGGTGCAGATATTGAATTAATGTCTTAAAACCGTCATTAGGTCGGTTTGTTGGTTTGTAAAGTGTCGTAGCTGCCGTTAGCTGTGGCGCCGGACACCGAGGAGACGGAAAAATACGCGGTTTGAGGAACAAAATGTCGCCGCCGGTCGTGAGTGCGAATAACCGGCGTGTGTTCAATGAGCTAACAGCATGCTAACGTTAAAGTACGTGAATTAGAAAACACATGTTAATGTAATATTAACTAAAATCAGCGAATTTTGTTGGATAAAAAGTGACCAAACGTCTCTTTCCCGGTTTAATTGTAATTAAGGGATCCACAATCAAGTGTGTGTGATGCTGTAATGTGAGTTAGCCGGATGTTAGCCGCACGGTCACTGTTGCGCGCTTCGGTTGCTAAAAGCCGCTTCCAGACATGGACCCCGCTACGGTCATTTAACGGCACCTAAACGCCTCATATCTGCTCACTTTTCCATTGAAGCTGCACTCCTACCGGGTCGTACCTCGTATCATTTCAAACCCTAGTGTGACCAGCATGCCGCCACATTACCGGGTTAGACACGGACCTGGTGTGTGATGTGATTTGAGGGCAGAATTTTAACCATTCTAGCGTGAAAATTGGTCCTAAAACAACACTGAGAGTAAAAGTTTGCATTCAGGATCACTTTGCTCTACAATTTTACATCCGTTGCAAACTGAAATGTCCTTAAAAATAAACTTGGCTGCAATGAAGACATTAATTAGACTCACTGCTAATGAATGTTGTTTAGCAGGAAGTGGAGTTTAATTTGTTGCCTCCAGCTGTTTGTAGGTATAATTACTCAGAGTTTATTAAATACCTCCAGCATTAAACTGCAGAGAGAGCGTTTATGCATGCTGCACAACAGCAGTCACTTCAATAATTACTTGTAATTGTGCATTATTGCTGAAATGATGACAGTCATGATTCCAACAGTACATGACACTCCTGACTTGTCCTCATGTCATCCAGGTGAGCTGGAACACACAGAACAGGGTTTCCATGGGGCATTAAAAAGCATTAATAGTCATCAAATCGAAAATTGAGGCTTTAAATAGCTTTACAAAGTATTACATTTGGTTCTCAGTGGCAGTGGAACAGCTACTAAAAGGATCATGTGGGGTTATGATGTCTCCAGCTGTTATCAAGGTCTGAACTTTTAATCATGACGCTAAAGGAGGTCGGTGTCTGCCACCAGCCCGATACAATAATGGTGATCAGGATTTTGTTTCTGGAGTTCAAAGTATTGAAAATATCGTCCTCCAGATTTCCACAAATATTTTGCCAGTTACTCTGAATAATCCGTAGATCTTAATTACTTTGCAGAAAAACCTTCTGCTTGTTAAATGAGACGTCCTGCTTTTGTCTGTGGTCTGGTTGCAGCTTGCTGAGCTGAGGCAGGAGTGTGAGGCCAGAGGTCTGGACACTAAAGGAAACAAAGGGGAGCTCATCGCCCGGCTGCAGGCTTATCTGGAGGAGCACGGTGAGGCTGAATGTGCTTCATGTAATCACTCAGATGTATTAACATAAACACACAGAAGAAAGATTGTGTTGTAGCTGCATCAGCTCAGGTTTAGACGAACAGTTTCTCCATACAGTGCCAATACGAGATGCTCTTCATGTCTGTCCTGTTTATTAATTCCGGTCTTTTATGCATTTTAATTGTGATGAAATCTCTGATCTCTTTCTGCTCTCTGGGTTCCAAACAACAGAGGAAGATGTGGACGTGGATGATGTTCTGGCAGAGGATGCCGTGGTAATAGGATTGTTTTTTTTCCACAACGTGTACTCGTTCACTGCTGCTTCTGTCTCACACGGAAATATTAACGTTTTCTTCTTCATTGTAGGACTTCACCAAAGTTGAGAGTTCCAACAACGTGAAAGCTGTCAAGGAATCTGAATCTCCTGAGAGCGAGCCGTGAGTTTGTCTTCAGTTAGTCGTTGTTCTGTTGTTCTTCTGTGGATAAGAGAACAGTGTCCTTTAAATAAACACGTCAGAGCGTAAATGATGCCAAGCAGCTGAAGTAGAACACAAGAAAGACTGAACACAGAAGATGGGTGGATATTATGAGAGAGGTTTGTGACATGTGCAGTTGGACCAGACCCGAATATTTGGTCGTTGGGGTGTTATCCGGATCGTTATTTTGATATTTGGATATTCGCCTGCTACACTGCCCACCCGTCCATTTCAGAAACTGGTATTCGGACCAGCCCTAATGTGCAGCATGTCGTGATCCTTCATGGCCAGAAACGGCACAGCCTGGCCTCATATGAGTGGATAAGTTAAGAAGAAGAAGCTCTATGCTGGTTCTTTGAATGTTCACATGATAAAACTCTGACTCTGGTAAAATCTGACTGAGAGGCCAATGCCAGGCCAGAGGGAGATTTTAAAGGAATTCTGGAGAAAAAAAAAATTGACATTTTTGCTTCTGCCTCATTAAAACCAACTAAATTAAAGAGTAAATAAAATCAGTGAGGCTGATGTTGTTGAACCTGTTCTGCCAACTTCACCAAACAGAAAGGCAGCGTTACAATGCTGCTTTTATTTTAGTCATCGCAGCTGCAGAATTACACAAAAAGGAAATTGAATAACACATCCCGGTACAGGGACCTCCAGAGCAGAAGGAGGTAAATATACAGCTAGTTTAGCATAGCATAAACAGCAAAAGGACGGGGAAAGGGCGTCACAACTAACTCTCAACTTAAAAATAATTAAATTCCTGAAAGCACCTTCAAAGCTTACGTTATATTTTTCTTGTTTAATTTGGACAAAAAAAGCAGATTTTTAATACCTTTGAGCAGGGCCGATGGTTTGTGGACGCTGGCTTCTCCAGTTTGTTTACGTGAAGCAAAACTAAGGTCTGTGGCTGCTTAATGCAAGTATAAGAAATGTAATTTGTACAATAAATATATATATTTTAAAACATGATACTTTTCAAATATAAAGCCGAAACTGGGCTGACTTGTGGACAAGAAATGTGGAAACCAGGAAATAAAAAATAATCTGAATTTAAAAGTCATGCTTTAGGAGACTGACTCTCACACAATGTATTTTAAGGAAATATGTGTTGTTGTTATTATTAATGAGATAAATGAGATCGTTTAGGCCATCCAGTGTGGTGCTGTGGTGTTTGCAGGAGATGTTCTGAAGCAATAAATAGAAGAATCAGACAGAAATGGACCTGAAGCAGCAAATGCAGGGTTACAGATTAACTGTGTGTGGTGCTGCCTCTGAATTCCTCCCGTTTTGCCATTTCTGTGAGGTTGCTAGGCAACCAGCAGGAATTTAGAGGTAATTTCATCTTGTGTTTCACATGTGGAGGATCAGCGGTCTTCAGGTTCGGTATTAAAGTGTCCAACCAGGTCATCGCATTCTGCATCTGGTCTTTATGGGTTTTTGTCTTTTTCTGCTTTCAGACCTGCTGAGAAGAAAGTGGTGAAAATTGCTCCTCCGTCGTCCTCCAGCGAAGTACGTACGACGTGTTTGCCTGCACTAATGAAACCTGATATTCAGTTAGCATGAAGCAAACACAGATAACAAGCGTCTTCTCATCAGTCTTTGTTCAGAGAAATTAGAAATGATGATCTTAGTTTCTGTTCACCTGATGTTTCCCAACTCAGCAGTTTTCTGACACGTGTGATCAAACTCAACACATCTGACGTCTGTGCAGCCGGCAGTCGGTGTAATAAAGAAGAGATTTTTCCAGGAGAATTCTCTTTCGAGTTAGTAGATATGTGGCGTTTCTTCGTCTTGATTTAATTGTTTATTATTATTATTTACTGCTTGTCATCGCTGCTTAACTCTCTGAAGCCCAAAACCTGCCGGCAGGTGACACAGACAAGTCTTCTTTGCAAAAGTCCCAAAAGTTACACCATTTATTAGAGCCAGAAGCTGTAAAAACAGAGATTATTGTCAGATTTTCAGCTTTCCTACGGCCCTTGAACTCCTCATCTGTGACATGCCATTCTGTGAGAAAACTTCACCAAGTCTCTGCCAAAAATTTGCCAAAAATAGACTTTATCCTCGAGTCAGATTCTGTCAAAAAGAAAAAAAACGTCCTTTGTCTGTGCAACTGTTAAGGCATTAGAGACCCAACAGTCATGTGACAAAAGTTCAGAGACCTTTCTACTGAGCTGGACTGAACTGCAGGCTGTGTTTACACAAAGTAGATAGGAGAAGAATGTAAGCAGTACGATATCTCTAGTATGTCAATATTGTTTTCTCTTTGGTGATGTATGGCCTTATTAAGACACGTCTCAGTTCTCTACTTCCAGCTATGGACGTGCTGTTACTACAGAGGTGCAGGTGAACCTTTGCTTTATGTTCTGATTTTAAATTTTCCCTTTTTTTGTTGTGCAGCGACTACAGAAGAGAGCCGA